CCCGGGTCCCCGCGCAGGAAGGGCTCAAGGTCAACGTGGAGCGCGCTCTACCCGGAAGGCGGCGGCCCGTCCCGCGAGGGTGGCGGGGCCAGCGCTCCCGCAGCAGCAGCAGCAGAGGACCCCGAGCCACCGCGCCAGCGCGCCAAGCCCCATAGCGACGCCGGCTCCGTCCGCTTTCGGTTTCTCGGCTCCGCCCCCCTCCCCGGGTTCAGGGCGGGAAGGTAGCAGGAAGGAGCCGCTGCCCTTGGGTCCTCTGAGCTCAGTTCCTGGAAATGGCTCCCTGGAAGGTGTTTGAATTCTCATTGCTTTTCCGGGAGCACCAGGCACAAGTTTCATCCTCTCATCCGTTAGAGAAAGCCCTCGACAGTTAAAAATGAAAGCCTTTATTTACGCAATCACGGGAAATTACAAACAATGGGGTAAAGTATTTGATTTCTCCTGTCTCCGCGTGATAGAATTGAGGATGTCTCAAGAAGGCATATGGCATTTTTGAAGAGTCCTGTTTTCAGAGCTTTATTTTTTTTTCTTTCATCTCAAACTGGAAGATGCAGTGTTTGCATTTAACTTGACCTTCATCCTGCTGTGCCTTCTGCAATGCTTCCTAATTTTTTTTGGAGCTCGCGCTAAAACTAATAGGAATTTTCACCAGGGTATTCATTTCAGAGATTACAAACATAATAATAAGTATAATTGTGAGGCGAATACATTATTTCTTGGCTTCTACAGTGACCATTTCCAAATTTCTATATATCCAGTCCCTCTCTTTCTGAAAGTACGCAAAATATTTCCTAAATGGTCAAATTTAAAAAAAGTAAATATAGATGAAAAAAAATTTCCCTACAGTAGTTTTTTGTTTGGTTCGTATGTTTGCCACATCTTACACGATCCAGTATATCCATTCACATACAATTCTGTTCTATCACAGATCACATCGAGTCAGGTTATTGTCATCAGTGCTAGCGGCTCCCTAATTCCCCTCCCACCCCTTTCCATACCCCCGAGGAACCATTACTGTTACTGTTTCCTTTTTGTTAAGATCATTTTATTGGGGGCTCTTACAGCCCTTATAGCAATCCATATATCAATTGTACCAAGCATACTTGGACATATGTTGCCATCATTATTTTCTAAACATTTACATTCTATTTGAGCCCTTGGTATCAGCTCCTCTTTTTACCTTCCCATCCTTGTGACCCCTTGATAAATTATAATTAATTTCATATCTTACACAGGCCGATGTCTCCCTTCCCCTGAAGTTTCTTACCCACCACCTCTCCCCACTTCCCCCTACCCTCCTGGCATGGCTACTCCCATTTCTGTTCCTGGAGGGTTTATCTGACCTGGTTTCCTGGTGTCCTGAGCATTTATCTGTACCTGTGGACATGCTCCAGCCTGGCCCTCAGTGAAAGACAGGATTGGGGTCATGATAGTGGGGGGTCAGGAAGCCTCAAGGAATCAGAGGAATAGTGTATGTCTCATCAGTGCTAAACTTCACCCTGGTTGATTCATCCCTTCCTTGCAACCCTTCTGTAGGGGATGTCCCACCGCCTACAGATGGGTTTCGGGTCTCTGCTCCGACCCTTCTTCTTCTCAACAATATGGGACGATTTGTTTATTTGTTTGTTTGTTTGTTTGTGTCTTTGATGCCTGTTACCTGATCCTGTCCACACCTCATGATCACATAGGCTGGTGTGCTTCTTCCGTGTGGGCTTGTTGATTCTTTGCTAGATGGCTGCTTGTTTAACTTCAAGCCTTTAGGACCCCAGATGCTGTATCTTTAGGCAGCTGGGCACCATCAGCTTTCTTCATCACTTTTTTGTGCAGCCGTTTTGTCTTCAACAATCTTGCTGGGATTTTGCCTCTCAATTTGACAGGATTATGAGTATAGGGGTGGAGTCTAGCCTGTCAATCAGATCTCAGCCAATGAGGCCTCTGTGTGGGCATGGCCTTCTCCTGAAGTTTCTGGGAATGCCTGTATGCCTCCGTGGAGGCTGGACATTCTCTCTGCTCACTCCCTGGGAGACATTGCAGCTGACAAGACACATGGAACTACACTAGTGCCCTGAGTTGGAGAAGCCACGTGGAAACCCCTGCCAGCACTGAGATGTCTACAGCATCACTGGATCCCCAAGACTTCCCACCAACTGACCTGTCATCTTTCTGCATTTGATGTCATTGCATGTGTTTTGTGAGCTTGAAGAGGACTTCATAGATTGGTATTGGACATATGGGCTAAGATCGGACTTATAGACTTGATCTGGACTAGGCTGGGATGTTTTCTCAATATTCAATTGCTCTTATGGATAAACCTCTTTCTTAAACACATATGAATCCCCCTGGATTTGTTTCTCTAGTCTACCTGGACTAACACAGAGGGTGAGCATCACAGAATGCCAGGTTGTTAGAACAAGTGTTCTTGCATTGAGGGTGGGCCTGAGCAGAGGCTCAAAGGCTGTCCACTTCCTTAGTGTCTTGCCATATAAATATATGTACCTATGTGAAAACTTCTATTTTTATGAATTAATATATTTACATAAGTGCACACCTATGTTTATACCTCTATCCATAGCCTTGCTTCCTAGATCTTTCCTGCGTTCTCTTTTACCGTCCTCCTTTCCCACCATTGCACTTGCCCTTCTTCTGCCTCTTAGTAATTCCCCTCAGCTGGATTGCTGTTGCTCCAACACCGCAGGATCTCTACATCCTCGTTGTTGATTTTGATTCCCTAGTTGCTTCCAGATCCCTGGGGTTGTTTGCTCACCACTCCCTTTCCTCGCCTCCTCCCCCCTCTGATTTCCTCTGGAACCTTAGGCCCTGCTGCTTTCTCTTTGGGTGTGCTTCCCATACCTATCTTGCGCAGGTAGGCAGACCAACAGCGATGTAGACAATACAAAAAGAAAACGAAACATTGAATAAAAAGAGGGCAAAAAGAAATAGAAAAATATATGTAAAGAAAAATAATAATAGCTAGCAAAAAAAAGCATAGATCATTATAGGTATGTCCGCAGAGTATTATGACACTCTCCCCACTAGTCCTGGGGGATTCCAGAAACTGCCCCTCCTAGCCTGATGTCTATTCGGGGGGCTCCTCAAGGGGTTGGGGGCTTCACATTGCTCCCATTGCTGCTCTGTTCTGTTCCCTTCTTGGTTCTCCCTGAGCAGTTATCTAGCTTGGCTTTCCTGTACCCAACGATCTTAAATATACAAACGAACACGCAAATCTAACATGATTAATGAGGCAAACCAAATACAAACCATAAAAGGAAGGGGAAGAAATATTAAAGGATTAGAAGGTAATTATGTGCTATTCTGTACTTTGGATTTTTCATCCCTCTGTGTGGCCCTTCTCAGAGGGAATGTCTAAATATCCAATTATCTTACTGGTGGGTTTTGGGTCTCCACTACATCCATGCCCATTCACAAACATTTGGTTGCTTGTGTTTTGAACTTCTGATACCTTTTCCCATTGAAACCTCTTGATAACACTGGTTGGTGTACCTCTTACATGTGGACTTTTTCGTTTCCCTGAAAGATGGCCGCTTGTTTAACTACAAGCCTTTAAGACCCCAGACACAATATCTTTTATTTTATTTATTTAACTAATTGTTTTCCCGCTATATCTTTTAATAATCCACCACCAGCTTTCTTCACCACATGTGCTTATGTCTTTGTCGTCAGCGATTGTCTTGGGAAAGTGAATATCATACAATGCCGCGTTATTAGAACAAACCATAATTGAACTGGGGTAAGCTTTAAGTAGAGGCCCAAAGTCCAACTGTTCCTTGTTGCATTTGCATATATATACATATATAAACAAATACATGTATATTTCTATATTTACGTATTTTTTTTCTTTCCTCTTACCCACTATTATGTTTATCCATTGTTCAACTCTCAGGAATTCCTCTCAGATACAATTCCATTAATTAAACTCGACCAGAGAAGATCCAGCCTCCTTGACATCAATATTAGAGTACTTCCTGTTGTCCTGTATTCGTCATTGCTGTGACCACTCACCTCCCCCTCCATCCCTCCCATGGCCCCCAGGGATGAACTAATGGACCAGTATCTGCCTCTGTAAGATTCTCCATCCTGCCTATCTTGTATAGATAAATACCAAAAATAATAAAATATAAATGTAATATATATGTTTAAAATACGTGTATACTTCATATACATATAAGGTTTCTAGGAGGTAGGAAGTGGATAAAGAGGAGCTGATATCAAGGAGTTCAAGAAGAAAGAAACCGTTTTAAAAATAAATGTGGTAGCAATTGTACAATTGCTTGATGTGATTGAACTATGGATTGTAATGATATCTGTAAGAGTTCCCAATAAAATGATTAATTTTTTAAAATAGAATTAAGTAAAAAAAAAAGTTAAAAAAAAAATAGAATTAAGTCTGAGATTAAAATAAATGTTTTGTGATCTGATGTAGTCATCCTCCGTTTTTTCATAATGCTGGTTTTCATATAAACCTGGTCTTTGGAGATCAATCAATGATGAGAGGGTTGCAGTTATTTATTGCAAATAGAAGTATTATTTCACACTGTTTTTGTGTGTCCAATATCTGGGAATAGCTTAGCTGGGTAGTTATGGCTCAGGGTCTCTCATAGGGTTTCAGTAGAGCTTTCAAATCTAACCTCAATCATCAGAAGGTTTTACTAGTTTTGGAGGATTTCATTTTAATTTTATGTGGCAGTTGGCAGGAATCCCCAATTCCTTAAAACCCGAGTGAACCCAAAGGGCTGTTTGTGATGTGGCCTCTGTCTTCCGCCAAAGTAAGTGCTGAGAAAAAGAGATTGAGGCACAGAGAGTATGTGTTTGTGTGTCAGAGAGGTGATTGACTTAGAATGGGCAAAAGCAACAACATACACCAAACCATCAGTCATTGCCAATTCCAAGCCAAGGTAACACTACAGGACAGAGTAGAGCAGTTATGATGTTGGCAGAGATGTGCAAAGCAACAGGTTGAGGTCATATTTGACTTTAGCAGCTCACTACCAAATGTGGTCAATTGCTGTGTGTGTCAAATTGTTACATAATTTAACCCAGCCTCACAAATGCCCCTCAACCTTTATAATATTTATGTCTTATGAGAGATCGGAAGGAGAAAGCCCCAGGAAGAGAAAGAGACCTCACCAGAAGCATTGGGAATGACAGGAGGTCATGAAGCCTACGGTAATTTCCAATCTTAAGCCATCAGGGACTGAACTAGCAGGCTGATTTTAAATTCCAAAATCAGCAAACCCACGACTCTTTTTGCTGACCCTTCGTCTGCTTAGTTCCTTGTCCATACCTAGGTAAGACCCAGCTTGGACAGAGCTTGACCAAGT